AGCCCAGGGGTTAAACTCAGAGAGTTGTCACCAGAGAGAGCAGTGATAGACAAGGGGTAATGGTTTTAAACTGGAAGAGGGGAGATTTTGGTTAGAGATCAGGAAGAAATGCTTCCCCATGAGGGTCTTAAGGTGCTGGAACAGGTTGCCCAGGGAAGCTGTGGCTGCCCCATCCCTGGCAGTGTTGAAGGGCAGGTTGGATGGGGCTTGGAGCAACCTGGGCTGGTGGGAGGTGTCCCTGCCCATGCAGGGGGGTTGGAACCTGATGATCTGTAAGGTCCCTTCCAACCTTCACCATTCCAGGACCTGGGCTTGGAGGGAATGGTGATGGGATGCATGGAATGGCTGGGAAGTCTCCAGTGCCCTGCTGAGAGACTTCAGCAGGGATCTGCTTAAACCAAACTGCTTCACAGAGGAAAAGAAATCCTTGGGAAAGGATCCCGGGGAAAGGCAGGATTGCATCCCTGCCCCTAGATCTCCTTGGATTTGGGCACTGCTGCCCCCTGTGCCTACTCACCCTCCTGGCTGGGAGCACCCCCTGCACCCAACACCCCCACACCCTTTCTTGGCCGGGAGAGGAGGGGGAGGAGCCCAGCCCCCCTCAGCTCCCCCCCAGGAGCAGGAATTCCCAGCCCAGCTCCTCTCCTGCTGAGCAGAATGTCAATGGAGTCTCCCAGCAGCCCCAGCTCCCCAGGAGCAGATCCCAGCCCCTGGGAAAGGAGCACAAAGCAGGTTGTCACAGCGAGCGATCCCATTTGTGCCCTGATTGAGGTTCCTTCCCTTTCCCCCTCCTGCTCCTTCTCTTTTTCTCATCTCACATTTTGCAGGCAGGTGGGAGGGTGGCTGCTCCTTTCCTGGAGCCTCTTTAGCATTCAGGTGGAGTGGTGGGTCTGGAACACCAGGATCATGTTTAATAGAGAGAAGGGGGAGTGGGAGAGGGGAAAATAACAGGAACAAAAGAGAAACTGGGAGCTTCAGCCTGGGAACAGGAGTGGAGGAGGATGGAGGGGGCTGGGAGGGTTGGGAGACCCAGGAGGGCCCTGGGGTGACAGCCCCAGCCTTGGGATGCTGCTGCCCAGCTGGGCTCCTGGCAAGGTGCCTTCATCTTTGCAACAGGAACTAGGACCCCCCAGGACCACAAACCTTCCCTTCTCCCCTCCAAGCCCACCCAGGTGCTTCAGCTGCTGGAAGTTGGCTAATTGATGAGTTAATTTAATAAATTGGACCACCTGGGTGCCTGCTGAGCCCTCGGGATTTTGGGATCCATTGCAGTTCAGTGGTGATTCCTGAATCTTTCCTAAACTGGATGAGAGGGAGCAGGAGAGGGAGGAAAGTCCTCTCAGAGCTGGGGGGGCTGCTCTGTGCACAAGGTGTGGGGAAGTTTGGGATGGGTGGTGGCCTGGGTTGGTCCTGCTCCTGGTGCTGTGTCCTGGCAGGAACACAGCACCTGTGGGAAGGTGAGAGGGTGACTGGTGGCCAGACCCTTCCCTGGGCTCTGCCAGCTCCAGGTAGGGCTGGTGATGTCTCTGCTGAGTTGCTGCCCTGTAGCTCCAGCTCTGCTGATCCTCTTGCTGCTCAGTTTCAAACCTTGCCCAGGTTCTTCTGGGCTGCACCCTGGTGAGGTCCCTGCCTGGGTGTGGGATGAGGGGGTGATGGATGGGGCTGGCTGGGTGCTCAGTACATCTCGGGTAGGGAGCTTCAGGCTGGTGGGGAGAACCTGAGCTTGATAATTTAATAAGTCTTTTCCATCTTTAAGATAAATGAACATCTGTGGTGTGTTGGGGAGATGGGAAGTGCTGTGTGAGTGCTGAGCAGCGTGTGAGCCTGTGGTGCTAAATCACTTCCATGTGCTGCACGAGGTGCAGCAGCTTGGCTTGATTTACAGGGTTTATTTATGGCTTGGGTGGACAGGACCTGGCAGGGTGGGTCAGAGCTGTTCTTCCTAGGGCAGGAAGCCAAAGAGACACCTTAGCAGTGCTGCCCAGGGCTGGAGCAAGGTGCCATCTGGTGCCTGGGAAACCCTTCTGGGGTCCTGCTGGCTGTCCCTGAGCTTGAGGTGGTCCCTGAGCCCCAACATCTCCAGGGTCCAAGCCAGCCTGTGTAGCTGGGGCTTGGTACCTGCCATCCTTGGTGGAGTGGAGGATCAAAGTAGGGTGTCAGGTGTGTTATCTGCAGAAACGAGAGCTTGGGGTGCTCTGAACCTCTCCCAGGGCTGCCCAGACCCCTGGTGGACCTCAGAGGGGCTTGTTGGTCATTGCTTTGCCCCAGGGCTGTTTCTGGCCTTCCTCTGGAGACCTTGGAGCCCTTCAGAGCTGCTGGGCTCTGCCCAGCCAGGCGCTTCTGCAGGCAGAACTGGAAAGCAGCAGCTCTGTGCTTTCTGACGGGTTTATTTCCCCCCTCCTAGACATTGGTGTGGAGGAGATGGGTGTCCCAGCTTGGGCTGGGGTAGTTTTGTGTCTCCCAAACCCAGTTATGGATGGAAACCACCAGATCAAAGCTTTTGACTTGCTAGCAAGACTCGGGAGAGCCGATCACCTTCCGCTTGGTGGTTTCCCCCTCCTTGACGGTCCCGGGTCCACGTGCTGACCCAAGGTCTTCCTTGGCTTCCACCTCCCTCTCCTCCAGAGCAGGGCTTGGGGAGCGTGGGCAGGGTGAGGGCATTGCAAGAGGGCAGAGAGGACCTCTTTCTCCTGACGCTTTGTCTCTCCACCCCAGATCCCCCAGATCAGTTACGCCTCCACCGCCCCCGACCTGAGCGACAACAGCCGCTACGACTTCTTCTCCCGCGTCGTCCCCTCCGACACCTACCAGGCCCAGGCCATGGTGGACATTGTCAAAGCCCTCAAATGGAACTACGTCTCCACCTTGGCCTCCGAAGGCAGCTACGGAGAAAGCGGCGTGGAAGCCTTCATCCAGAAGTCCAGGGAGGATGGTGAGAGAGTTTCCCCCAGGATGGGGGTTCGTTGCGGGCTTTGGAGGAGGTGGGGCTGGAGGAGGAGGTGGGGATGGAGGGATGTGTCTGGTTGGGTTTCCTGGATTTTGGCTGGGATATGGCTGTGGTGCATGATCTGGGGTGGATGGTGTGGTTTGGGGAATGATTCCATGGCAGTGTGGGTTTGGGGCTGCTCTGCTGATGGCAAGGGCAGGGTGGTGTCCAGCAAGGATCCAAGTTCTCCACCAAGGGTTGGGACCAGCAATCCCAAGCTGTCTCTGCAGGACAGGCTGCTTTATTGCTGTCAGCTCCTTTTAGAAGGCATCTTGAGATCCTGTTCCCTGCTCACAAGGAGAACTCAGATCTGCTGGGCTGGTCTAACCCCCTCTCTTGGTGGCCAAGCCCCAGTGCTGGGCACGTGCCAGAAGAGAAGACTTTTACAAATGCTGATGGGCTTTAACAAGAAAATAAAGTTGGCACCAGCACAGGCTTTGGCCAATTTTTGTGGAATTATCCCTGAGGGCAGGTGCTTAAAATTTGTCTATGGGCTTTGGATGGGCAGAAAGTCTGTGCTCAGCAAAACTCTTTGGGAGGATTTGTCGGGAGCCAAGAAACGTTTTGCTGATGGGAGCACTGGGATGCTTAGGGGGGATTAGCAGCCTCAGGAGTGGTGGAGGAGTTCATGGATACCTGCTGAGCATCAGCCCTGGGATGGGTGATGACCCCTGGGTGTTGCTGCAGCCTCAAGACCCCACGGAGGGGCTGGCATGGTCTGTCTCCCTCTGGCTTGGGGGCTGGATGGGAGCTCAGGAGTGTTTTTCCGAGGCAGTTAAATCCCTGCTGTGCACAGGTTGCTGCCTATTACTGCCTTAACTGTATCTAAATGGCACATTAAGTTCTGGCAAAATCGGTGGGACACCAGCATATCTGGAGCCAGTCAAACTGTGTTATGGCCTTATAAATGGATAAAGGGAATAAAAACTGGGAGGTGACGAGCTCCTAATCAAAGCCCTATAAATAGGAGCAGCGTTGATTCTGTCTCGCACACGCGCCTTGGCAGGGGGAGCTGGCTGTGCTTTTCATGTGCAGAGAAACCCATCTGGGGATTCAACCTGGAATCTGCTCTTCAGGATTTTTCACTTGAAAAGCAGAATATTTTCAGCAGGCTGTGGTTTTGCAAAGGAGGATGCTCAGGAGCCAGGAGGGAGTGTGATGCTTGTTGTGCGGTGGGACGGGGTCCCTGTGTGCCCAGCTGGGGGGGGTGTCTGCAGGGAGATGGTGCCAATGACCAGGTGCTGCAGGGTTTCCAGGGATCTGTGGATGGGAAAGTGCCCCTGGGTGTGTGTGATGCCTGGCAGGTCTGGGGGAGCAGACGGAATGCCCTGTGGGACAAGGTGCCCCATGGAATGGGATGCCCTCTGGGGTGGATCACCCTACAGGATGGGGTGCCCCGTGGGATGGGGTGCCCTAGGGGATGGGGTGCCCTGCAGGATGGGGTGCCCCGTGGGATGGGACCCCCCATGGAAGGGCTGCAGGCAAAGGGCTGTGTCTCTGGCTCAGATAACAGCCTTGCTGCTACTGGGGTTTGTAAAGGCTCCCAGCAGCCTCGTCTGGCTGGTGCTGATAACAAGATTCTCTGCTGGCTCTGGGAGGAATAAGGGAAACCCACCTTTTGTGGGGGTGGGGGCAGGGTGTGGGGAGGCAGTTTCCATTTTCTTCAGCATTTTTCCACCCAAAAAGGGAGTTTTCTTGCCCACCCAGAGCAGGTCCTGCCCTGCGGGGCACCCGTCCCAGTGCTGGTGGGACCGCTGGGTGACACGGGGAGGTGACACTTGTGCCGGGTTAAACACCTTGTCAGCACGTTGTCCTGCACGGCAGAGGATGCTCTGCTGCCCCCCCTGTGGCCGTTGCCCCCCAGGGTCGGGGCGCTGGGGGCTGCACGAGCCCAGGGGGGGCGAGTTGATGCAGCGGCACAATCTGAACCCTCTCCTTTCCCCTTCTTTCTCCTTTCCCCTTCTTTCTCCTTTCCCCTTCTTTCTCCTTTCCCCTTCTTTCTCCTTTCCCCTTCTTTCTCCTTTCCCCTTCTTTCTCCTTTCCCCTTCTTTCTCCTTTCCCCTTCTTTCTCCTTTCCCCTTCTTTCTCCTTTCCCCTTCTTTCTCCTTTCCCCTTCTTTCTCCTTTCCCCTTCTTTCTCCTTTCCCCTTCTTTCTCCTTTCCCCTTCTTTCTCCTTTCCCCTTCTTTCTCCTTTCCCCTTCTTTCTCCTTTCCCCTTCTTTCTCCTTTCCCCTTCTTTCTCCTTTCCCCTTCTTTCTCCTTTCCCCTTCTTTCTCCTTTCCCCTTCTTTCTCCTTTCCCCTTCTTTCTCCTTTCCCCTTCTTTCTCCTTTCCCCTTCTTTCTCCTTTCCCCTTCTTTCTCCTTTCCCCTTCTTTCTCCTTTCCCCTTCTTTCTCCTTTCCCCTTCTTTCTCCTTTCCCCTTCTTTCTCCTTTCCCCTTCTTTCTCCTTTCCCCTTCTTTCTCCTTTCCCCTTCTTTCTCCTTTCCCCTTCTTTCTCCTTTCCCCTTCTTTCTCCTTTCCCCTTCTTTCTCCTTTCCCCTTCTTTCTCCTTTCCCCTTCTTTCTCCTTTCCCCTTCTTTCTCCTTTCCCCTTCTTTCTCCCTTTTTTTCTTCTCCTCTTTCCCCTTCTTTCTCCTTTCCCCTTCTTTCTCCTTTCCCCTTCTTTCTCCTTTCCCCTTCTTTCTCCTTTCCCCTTCTTTCTCCTTTCCCCTTCTTTCTCCTTTCCCCTTCTTTCTCCTTTTCCTTTTTTTGTTTTTCATTCCCCCCCCTTTTTTTATTCCCTCCTTTTTAAGTTTCACTTTCAAATCTCCCAGCCGTGCCCCCCTGAGGTGGCAACCACAAGGCTGGAAGAAGAGCCAGGCTCTTCCAGCTTCATCCTTATGTTTCCCCCCATAACTAGGGGCAGCTCCCCTGACACCAGGAAGCCTTTACACCCGTGCAGAGCTGCTGGGAAGGGGAGAAGGATCCAGCCCCTTTCATAGCCTCTTTGGATACCCCTGGCCCTGATTTGCACTTCTCTGCATGAAGGGTCATGCTATTTATTGCTGCTTCAAGGTGTCTCCAGCCTGGAAAAGTGAGGAAAAAGAGCTGTGGGTTGACTCAGTGGTTGGCCAGTGGTTTGTCAAGTAGCCAAGTTCCCCCATGCTGGGGTGTTTGTGCTGGGGGAAGGAGCCAACTGAGCCCAGGACCAGGGTGAGCTCCTCCCACCCAAGGGTTTGGTTCATTTTTCATGCCAAGCCTGAGTCTCTGGAGTTGGTTTTTATTTCCATCAGGCAATAATGCTCATTGCTGTAGTTAGCAGTTAGCACTCAAGCTGTTTGCTTTCTGATGCATTATCAACTTGACCTTCAGTCTGGGTTTTTAGCAAACCTCACGTTCAAGCTTTTGCCGTCGCTGTCGAAAATGGTTCTGCTCATAAACCCCCCCTTGCTGGCTGGGGGAGAAGAAACTCACCCTGGGGTTGGGTTATTCTGGCCTTGGGCTACCAAGACACTGCCCTGAGTGGTCCATTGTATCCTAGACATCCCAATGACTCTGGCAGTTGTGGTGTTGGTGACTGCTGCTGGTGGCACTGGTGGCTGGAACGTCCTTGTTTGCAAGAGCCACAATTTCTGGGGTGCTGAGGCTGCAGACACGTTGGGGCTGTGAAGGATGAATTTTCTCTGGCCACATTTAAGTGTTCCCTCAAAGCATCCTGTAAAGCCAGCAGGTGTCAGGGCTATTGACACCTTGGCATCAAGGCAGAGCCAGCACTGAGTGTCCCCAGCATCCCCATCTCTGTCCCTTCTTGTGCACCATCTCCAGTAAGTGGGTCATCCCCAGATCATCCCCAGATCCATGCAGCATCCCAGTGGGCTGGCAGACCCCTCTGCAGCCCCTTGGCTCCGTGTGTGTTGACATCCCTGCTGTCACTGAGCTCTTGGAGCTGAAGTATCAGGTCTATGTTTCTGTAACTCAGCTGGTGAGCAGGGCACGTTTTGCCACGTGTCCTAATGTGCAGAGCTTGGCTTTGTGAAGAGAACAATATTTCCAGCCCAACACAAGACTCCTTAGTCATGTGGCTGGATCGGTTTTACACTATTTTTCCTCTATTGTTTTATCCTTCACTGGGTTCCCTATATTTTTAATTAAGAGGCTGATGAATATTTGTGACGTGTTTGCCCCTCCCCGTGTGACAGTCCTGGTTGTCTCCTCCTGGTTTTAGCCAAGTTGGCTACTTTTGGTTGACACTTTAGGATGTCACCCCCCCAAAAAAACCTGCTCCCAGGTCTTCAGGTGTAACTGTCTCCCCATCACACTCCTCTGCCCAGCCTGCCTTGTGTGCAGGTGCCCATGGGGTGGAAGGAGCTTTTCCCCACGTGCAAAGCCACTTGATGCTGCAGCTTTGAGGGGGAGTGGGTGGGAGGATGGACAGACAGACAGACAGATGGCTGGGCAAGGGGGTGAGTGGCTGGATGGAGGGGTGGTTGGGTGGATGGTGCAGACCCTCACCCTGTGCAGACCCTCATGCCCCACATCAGGGCACAGCACACTGCTCCTGCCATGGCACTGGAGCTTTGCCAGGCCACAGAGCCACGTCCTTTATGACTTCTTCTCTAACGAGTCAGCTCCTGGAGGCTTTGAAGTGACACAGATGATGAATCCCAGGGCAGGGGAGCAGCCAACTGCTCAGCAATTAAGACTCTGGGCTGGGGAATTTCCTGGGAAGTGCCGGGTGAGGAAGGGAAGGCAGGGGAGCTGTGCAGGTGCTGCTGGCAGGGCTGGATCCCCTCCTCGGGGTGCCTGGGGAGCACTTGGTGGTGGAGGGGACATTCATGTCCCTGTTCCCCCTTCTCCACCGCCCTGACCCCGGGCCCACCCAGGGTTCTGAAGTGGGAGGTCCTGGCAGAGCCTTCCCTGCTGGATGGTGTCCCTTAGTGACAGCAAAAGCTAAATATCTGTCTGCAAATCAAGAGGGCACTTGAGGTGCCCTCCCGGGGCTGCTGCGCTCCCACCTGCCCCTAAGGGTGGTGGGGTTTTTTTCAGTGATGTCCAGTGACAGGACAAGGGGCAGGGGGTGCAAACTGGAGCCCAGGAGGTTCCATGGGAATCTCAGGAAGAACTTTGCTGTGAGAGTGACAGAGCCCTGGGCCAGGCTGCCCAGAGAGGCTGTGGAGTCTCCTTCTCTGGAGACATTCCAACCCCCCTGGCCACGTTCCTGTGTGATGTGCTCTGGGTGCCCCTGCTCTGGCAGGGGGGTTGGGCTGGGGGAGCTTTCCAGATCCCTTCCAACCCCTGGGATCCTGTGATTAAACCCTGCCCCATGTCTGACAACACGTGTTAACCCCTCCTGAACCAGGAGGTTCCCACCTGATGCTGATGTCCCTGAGGTGGTGCAGGCAGTGGTTTGCTGGGCTTGTTTGCTGAAGGACAAACCCGGGGGCAAACCCATCCCCTTGCAGAGCCTCTGGCTGCCTGGGCAGGTTTTCCAGAGAGATGTTCCCTCTTGTCCTGGTGAGCAGCTGTGCTGAGACCCCCCCGGGTGGGACAGGGTGGCTGCTGCTCATTAACTGCAGTGGGTTGGTTATGGGGAGCTCTGGGGGTGGCACTGCTGGGCACACTGGGTCACCTCCCTTTCCCCACCATTTCACCTTCCCTGTTGGTCCCCACTTCCCTGGGTGTGGGTTGCTGGTTCTTTCATCCTTGGCTCTCCCCAGCAGCTCCCTGCAAAGCTGCTGGCTCATCACTGGGACACTGGGCTGTCACCACAGCAGGGCCTTGGACCAGGAGCCAAAACCAGCTCCAGTTGCTCCTGGGTGCTGCCCCAGCCCTGTGGGAGGTTTGGAAATGGGCTTCCAGTTGGGATTTTATGGCTGTTTCTTGCTGCAACTGCCCTACCATCCATCAGTGAGGGAATGTAGGGGATCCCATCTGAGCATCCTTAAACTGGGCACCTGCCTCCAAGCTGTCTGGGAGCAGCTGGGTGTGGGATGCTCCTCTAGTTCTGGAGGCTTTCCCCACTATTCCTGCTCCTCCTTGGTCCTTTTCCAAAGCTGGGGGAAGAAAAAGAGGAAATAGCCTCAGGTTGTGCCAGAAGAGGTTTAGATTGGATATTAGGAACAATTTCTTCCTGGAAAGGGTTGTCAGGGCAGGTGGAGTCCCCATCCCTGGAGGGATTTCAAAGCCAAGGAGATGTGGTGCTGAGGGACATGGGGCAGGGGTGGCCTTGGCAGGGCTGGGGGAGCAGTTGGACTGGAGGGTCTGAAAGGGCTTTTCCAACCCAAATGATCTGAGGATTCCTGCCTTCTCCCAGAGTCAGACCTTGGCCCCAGTTGGGGGAGATGCTGTTCCAGCTGCCTCCTCACTTCAGTTTCGTGCTTTCAAGGAGTGTTTTGACTAAATGGGCTTTTGTGTGGAGGCAGTAGGAGCATCATGTGGCAAATCCCCCTGCCCTGAAATGTGCAGCTCTGCTCACCTCCCTTAACCCCCCAAAAACATTTTTTTTTTCCCCCATTATGAAGACAATTTCATGAATTAAGAAGATAAAAACATGAAGCAGGGCTGTGAGCTTTGGTGCAGGGGCTGGAGGAGTTTGCTGAGGGGATGTGAAACCCCCAGACCCTCCATAGGCTTTTACCTGGGTTGGGCTTGTGATATTTTAACCCTGGAGAGCCCCAGGGAGCTGCAGGAAAGCACAGGGGCTGCAGGCATCCATGGCCATCCCTGGGGCAGTTTTCTCCCAGGCTCCAGCCCCTTTTTTTTTGGTTCTCCACCCCCTCTTTCCCCTCCCACTTGGCCTCTGTCACCAGCTCCGTGCTCTCCAACTGCTGCATTAATAAGGTTCTCATTACACCCTAATTGCCCATATCCCTTTTTTGTTACATTCCTCGTTAGTTTGATTTAACAGAACTGCTGAGTAACTTGGTCATCTCAGAATTGCCATCGATTTAGTCTCTTTTCTCATTTATTTATGGGCCCATCTCCTCTGCCACCCTCCTCTTCCCATGTGTACAAGAAGGTGGCCACGAGTTTGTCTGAGGTCACTTGCTGCCCCTGTGGGTGCCACGGGATCCTGGGGATGCCCAAAGCTTCTGCTGGGGGTGAGGGGTGTCAGACTCCCCTGGAGGATCCCAGTGCAAAGCCTTGGCCAGTCTCAAAGCTGTGGTTTGTTCTGGTTGTGCTGGGAAGGGGCTGGTGCTCCCCCACATCCCTGTGCTGCACGTTCATGGGCACACGGGTGTGCAAGGGCACATGTTGTGGTGGGATAGATATCAGAGGAGCCTGGGAGCAGGGGCAGGAGCCTCCCAGGGCTGGTGACACACGGGTGTGCTCTTGTGCCAGCCCTGAGCTGTCACTCATGTGCACACACACCTGCCCGCCCAAGCTGGGGCTTTTGGAAGGCTGTGGGCCTTGCAAACTGCTGCTTTGGTTGGGTTTTTCTCCTTTTCTTGCCATGGAAACCCTAATTAAGCTGTGCTGGCTCCTTAGCTGGAGCTCTGGTCTCAGGTGGCACAGGCAGTGCCACCCTGGCCTGGCTGGGTCAGCAGTGACCCCGGGCAGGGACGTGCCCACCCTGGCTGGTCTGCCTGCCTGTCCTGAAGTCTGTTTATCCAACTCCCTCCTCCCCATCCATCTGGTTCCCCAGATGGGAAACAAACAGCAAATTGGCCCAAGTTCTTAGCACAGGAAAAAACCAACAACCAACCCTCAACCCCCCTCTGGGTGGCTGGGCTGGGGGGGCAGGGCTGGGTGATGCTCCCCTGACCAGCAGCTGTTTGCTGGGGGTGCTGTTACCCCCACCCCTCTCACCACCCTTGCACCCACCAGACTCCCCCCTCTCTCTGCACCAGGGGGTCAAATGATCCCAATTTTCCTCCAGCCCAGCAGGACTGAGCAAACAGCCCCATCCCAGAGCCCTCTGCTTTGCTTCCATCTTCTTCTTGCTCCTCTCCAGGGCCGTAAGCTGGGAATCTCTCCCAGCCACCATGTGCTAATGACTCTGACCTTTGCTTAAGCTGGGATCTTTCAGTGGCAGGGAGGTATCAGCCGTGTCATTTGCTATGCAAATCAAGACCATCAATTACCTCCAGAAGGTCCCGAGATGTTTAATTTTCTCTCCCGTTTCTCTTTTTATTGACATCTGCAAAAAAAGCAGGAGCAGGAGGGCTCTGGCTTTTCCAAGCTGGAGGCTGGGAGCCCAGCAGCCAACTCTTCCCATTGCCAGCTTCCCCTTGTCTCTTTTAATTTTAATTAGCTGCTTTTGCAATCACCCTGTGGAAAGTTGGGCTGGGACTTTGGCTGGAGCTGCAGGGATGGGGATAAAACCTTTTGCAGAGCTGAGCTGCTTTCTCAGGGAGGAAGGGTTTGTGGTGGGGCTGCAGCCCAGCAGCTCCTCTGCCATCTTCCTGTTTCCAAAAGGTGATACTGGTTTCGCCAGTGTTTGGGCACTGCATGTGCAGAGCCCCTGGCACAAAGCAGTCCTGGGCTGGGGAGGGGCTGGTGCTTGGAGCTGGCTGGGAAAATCCTCTGTGAGCTGCTGGGATGGGATTTCTGTCTGCTGGGGGGGGATGGGGTGTGATGTGGTTGTGGCTCGAGATGGGAGGCACTGAGAGGAGCAGGTGGAAGGCAGGGATGAGCCATGGAGAGGTGGGATGGGAGGGAAGGTGGGATGGGAGGGCAGGTGAGATGTGGGATGGGAGGGCAGGTGAGATATGGGATGAGGGAGAAGGCAGCACAGAAGGGGAAGGGGAGTGGGGAAGGGACTGTCCCGGGAGATGGGGACTGTTCCAAGGGATGGGGATGGGCAGGAGTCTCAGTGTTGGGGTTCCCTCTGCCACAGGGGGTGTGTGTGTGGCTCAGTCTGTCAAGATCCCACGGGAGCCCAAGCCAGGAGAGTTTGACAAGATCATCCGCCGGCTCCTGGAGACCTCCCATGCCCGGGCAGTCATCATCTTTGCCAATGAAGATGATATCAGGTGAGGAGGGGCCAGGCCTGGCTGGGAGGGCAGTCTTGGGGGGGGGAGAAATGCACTTCAAGGTGCTCCTACCGAGCCTGAGATGTGCCTTGGCCAGGGGTGGAGTGTGGGATGGTGCCAGCAGGAGCTGGGCACTGCAGCAGGAGCTGAGGGTGCTGCAGTGAGCAGATGTGCCTGCATCCTGGAGCAGATGTGCATGCTTTCCTGGCTGCCTCTGCAACTTGGCAGGGACCTGTCTGCAGTGGGGAGAGGCTGCACCTTGCAGCGTGGCAGGGACGTGTCTGTGCCAGGGAGAGGACACCCCTTGCAGCTTGGCAGGGACACACCTGCAGCCACCAGAGCTGACTTCAGTGGGGCTTCCTGGCACCTTGAGGCCACCAAGCCACAGCAACACTGAGCTCAAAGGAGGAAAAATCTGCTTTCTGGTGGCTTTGGGAAGTCCTGCTGGCACCACCCTGCTACTCATGGGCTGAGTCAGGGCTGGTGTTGGGGCTTTGGCCATGGCAGGATCCAGGCTCTGGGTCTGTGCAGCCTCAGCCCCCAGCCTGGAGGAGAAATGGGTCTGGGGGGACTTTTGAGGGACCCCCCCTTGCCTGCTCTGAGGTGATGAGCTGCTCTGCAGGTGAGGCACCATCTTGCAGCTCCCACTGTTTACGGAGCAGAGTGATTCACTTGGAGCTACCCCTGATTTCCTAACTATCTAATTTATTAATCAGCAAACATTATGGAAATGTGGGTAAACTGCTATTTTCAATCAGTTTACATCAGATGTGCAAACGCTCCCGTGTTCCTTTTTTTTCCCTTCCTTAATAGAAATGTCTCCAAACCTGACATTTACGAGGGTGTCTGGTGAGAAAGGGGGGATTTACCTCCCTGTGTAAATGGCAAGTCCCATTAACTGGGGTTTGTCAACATTTACCCATCCCGATCGGATTAGATCCCACCAGCAGCAGGTCACCCACCCCCACCTCATGCAGGGGTTCAGCCCAGGCTGCTGGGACCCCCAACCCTCCTGCCAGCCTGGAACACACTGTGCTGCCTCTCCTGCCCTGTGCTGGCTCAGGCTGCCCAGCCAGATAGTCAGGAATGGTCGTTGCTGGAATTTCTGCCCAGCTGAGATGGGATGTAAATCACAGATCTCCCAGGAACAGCCTCAATTTGCCCTGGGGGGCTCCTGCCCCACAGGAGGACTGGGGGCAGCTGGAGGTGCTGCCTGTGCCTGGAGTGGGTTGGGGGCTTTGGTGACATCCCTGGAGCAAGGTGGGAGGAGCACAGAGCAGCCCACAAGCCTCACTGACCCTTCATCTCCCCAGGCTCACCTGCCCCTTCCCATCTTGTCTCCACTCTCTGCTCCTTTGGGGCTGGTTTGGGTGGGGTTTTTTTGGTTTGTGGTTTTATTTTCTTTCTTTCTTTTTCTTTTTTCTTTCCTGTGCGTCTCAAACGCCATCTGGGCTTGAAATGATCAGGGGCTGAGTCACCAACCTGCCTCCTCACTGCATGGGGAGATGGGGAGATGATGCTCCCATGGGGCTGGGAACCCACACGAGCCCCCAAGGGACCAGTGAGCCCTGGGAATGAAGAGCCCGGAGGGTGGGATCCAGGGGAACTCCCAGCCTTCTACTAAGATTTCCTGGCACTGGTGGAGCAGCTGGATGTCTGGCCATGCTTAGTGGTATGGATGGCATCTCCAGCTTTCCACTGGTGCCCAGTTTAGCTCTAGCCTGGGCGCTGGCAGCACTGGTTGGCTCTCTCTGGTGGGAGCTGAGAGCACACGCACGGTCACTGCTGCTGCTGCTTTTCCTGCCTGCTGCAGCATAACCTGGTTTTTTTTTTCTTGTTCCTCTCCTAATCTTAGGTAATTAAGGGGGAAATTCAATTAACAGTCAGCAAATATGCAAGTGAGGTGGGAGAAGCAGCCTGGGTGCCCAGGCTGGGGAGGACGGAGGGTGCGGGAGCTGAGCAGCAGGTTTGCTCTCCAGTATCTGTACCCATTGGGTCCTGCCTGGTCCCTGGTGCTGACCAAGTGCTGGGAGCAGGAGAAGATCCCACCAGCACTGAGGTCTGCCCGTGTCCCCACTTCTGTGGGGCTGGACACGAAGCTGATGCCCCAGCCTGTTCCTTCTCTCCACAGACGGGTGCTGGAGGCGGCCAAGAGGGCGAACCAGACGGGACATTTCATCTGGATGGGGTCGGACAGTTGGGGCTCCAAAATCTCCCCTGTCCTGCACCTGGAGGAGGTGGCCGAGGGCTCTGTCACCATCCTGCCCAAGCGGGTCTCAGTCAGAGGTGAGGGGCTGTGCTGGGTGGGGGGTCCTTCCTCAGCCTCACAGGTTTATGGCTCCGTGCTTTGCAGCAGCTCTGCCCTGGATGGGTTTTCCAGGCTGCTGTTTTGCTGGGACAAAAACCCAACACACTTGTGTGCCCCTTGACCTTCCCGAGGCCCCCCCCTTCCCCTCTTCTGTGGGAAGTTTGGGACCATGTTCAACATCTTTCTGCCACCCTAGTGATTTATCCCCTCTTCCCTGGGCAGGTTTCGACCGCTACTTCTCCAGCAGGACCCTGGACAACAACCGCCGGAACATCTGGTTTGCTGAGTTCTGGGAGGACAATTTCCACTGCAAGCTGAGCAGACACGCTCTGAAGAAGGGTAGCAGCATCAAGAAGTGCACCAGTAAGAGCTGTGGGGATGCTGTGTGTGTCCCTCTGTCACACGGGGCTGCAGAGGGACCTGAAGGTGATGGCAGAGACCTCAGGGCAGGTGGTAGAAAAGCTTTGCTTGGTTTTTCCCTTTGGGGACTTTGAGCTCAGCCATGTCCTGGTTGCTGCAGAGCTGCCAGCCCAGCTCAGGGCACTTCCATGGGAATTAATGGTCTGTGCATGGAGGTCTTGGTATTAGCATTGATTTTTTTTTTCTTTTGGGCTCAGTATCAGAGCCAGGTGGGGATTTGGAGGAGGCTGGAGAAACGTTTCTGGGGCGTGGAGGATGTGGGTGCTGCAGAGCTGCTCACCTGCAGGGGTGCTCGGGTGTCTGCTGGGCTCGTGATGGTGGCAGCTGCCTTAAAAGTGGGCAGAAAAGCATTTTTGTGCATCCTCTGAGCTGTGGGTGATCCAGGAGGTGTGGAGATTGGTGTGTGAGTGGACATGGTCCCCCCGTGCAGAGCTCCCAGGGCTGCTCCCTCTCCCACACCCTTCTTGCATATCACCCTTCCCTTCACCCCAGCTTCTCTGGGTGCAAAATCACCCAGACTTGGGGCTGAATTCTGCCTCGTGTCACAGCATTTGGACAACTGTCTCTTCCTCCTCTCCCTGTTGTCCCACGTGAGGCACGAAGCCACCGGTGCATCCCTGGTCCCTCGCAAGCAGCTCCTGCCTCACCTGAACAGACTGAAAACCTGGGGAGGTTGCAGAGAAATGAGGCTAATGAATAGCACAGGGTCAGGATCTGGCTCTTGCTTCTTAGCCAGCATCAAGGCTGTGGCCACAGCGTGCCCGTGCCTGCAGGGAGGGTGCTGCTGGGTGCCCCACAGGAGGGTGCGGGGGTGCCCAGAGGGGATGTGCTGGAGTGATGTTTGCAAACTGCTTTGCTGTCCCTTTGCTGCTCCAGACAGGGACACTCCTCACCCCCCACTGTGCATTTTTAGCCATTTCCAGCTGAAAGAGGCTTGTGGGGATTAATGCCATAAAGAAGGTGACCAGGGGATCCGTCTTTTTGACAGCCCTGCTGCAGAGATGATGGTTGGAGACTCGGGGAGGTGACACGTTTACAGAGGGATGGGGGAGATTTACTGCCTGCCTGGCACCAGCTGGAGACAGATAATGACATGGCAGCTCACAGGCTGTGGTGTGGCAGGACTTGGGGACACATATGTGTCCCCCCTGTCCCCTCAGGAGGGATGTCTGTGGAATCTGTGCTGTGTCAGCAGGTGGGTGGACCTGGTTGTGCCTGGAAAGTTTGATCGTTAAGGGTTTTTTAACTCCTGCTTTCACTGCTGAGGGTGCAAGGGCTGGTGCTTCCACTCCCTCTCCCTTGCAGACATTCCCCAAATGTTCAGCTGATGATTTGGGGACACTTCTCCACCCCTGTGAGGGCTTTCCAGTGCTGCAGCTTCCCCAGGTAGCCTTGTGGCTGATGCATAGCTTGGTAAGCAGCAAGGACACGCAGGGAAAATTGGCCACAGCCTTGGGGACCTGAGAGCTCCTCGTCTTTCCCCGTTGCATCAAGACATTCCCAGCACCAGGAAATGCACGAGCAGGTCCTGCAAACCACTGATCTCTTCATCTTCATAGTAATGTAGCATTTAAACAAGCAATATTTCAGGGCTGAGGTATTAGTGGAGGCAGCTGGAACCGCGACGTGGCAAATGTCCTAGGAACTGTCTTTAAATTATCTGGATTTGTCAGCAAATAAATTATCTGCTGAGCCTTTGCTTGGCAGATAAACAGGGAGGAGAATGAAGGCACCACGAAGCAAATAACCTGCCTGGGGGGGTTCCCCTCCCTCCTGCTTTGCACAGCTTATGCAAATGTCCCATTTGGGGCTGTTTTCTGGAGGGAATTGGACTGAGGAGCTTGGGTAGAGCCCAACAAGCCCAGAGAAACGCCTGATTTGCTCACTTTTCCATCCCTAAAACCAAACCAAAGGATCCCACCACCAGTCAGGACAGCTCCTGTCTCTTGCTGATGTATGGGAGAGCTGGAGGGAAGGTGAGAGGCTGGGGGGAGGCACAAGGTTTTGGGGTGATTCCCACTCGCATCTGCTCGTGTTGGCTTTTCTGCTTTTTTGCTTCTCTCTCTGGTCTCTTCTCAACATGGGCTTGTTTGGTTTGTGGCACTGGCTGTTTCCCAGCACCCCAGCCAGGCCAATGTGGGGGATTTACACCCCTCACCTGGTGGTTCTGATGATAAATGGTTCCCGTTGAGTGAGGCCAGGTCAGAGCTGGCCAGGCTGTGTCCCTTCAGTCCCTCTGCTTGGCTTTCCATCAGATCCAGTGCTGTCCAAGCAGGCACAGCCAGCCTGGCCATGAGGGCAGCTCCAGCCTTCCTTGCAGAGAGATGTTTGCAGTCAGCAACCCTCACTGGAGACAGTCCCTGCTCCCCTGATGGACTCACCCAGCCCCAACACCCCATGGGTGAGATTTGGACACAGAGAGGTGACATTATCCCCCAGCTCCCCATAGCAGCACTGTGAGTGATTTTGATGAGCTCCGGCTGAAGCTGGTGCTGGGATGTGATGGGAATTGATGCTAATCCCACCTCATCCCCTGCTTGAGAAGAGTGTGGTGTCTGTCCTCCAAAGGGGGCCTGTGGAGGCTCATCATGAACTTGAAAGTCAATTATCATCCCTGTGGAATGATGGCTGACCCTGCAAATTATCATCAGCGGGGTCAGATCCCTTTTGCAGCCCTAATCTACTGTGGCTTTGTTGGAGATTTATTATCTCTGTGTTGGGAATGAGCCTCAGGTTTCGGCTCCATGTTGTTCCCTCTGTGCACCCACCTAATTCTCATCTGCAAGAAGCAGCTGGGGCTTGGGATGAGGTTCCCAACAACAGCTCTGGAGACCTTCACTGCTCTGCAGTGGCTCAGCTTCAGCACTGGATCCAGCTTCTCCCAGCTTCTCCCAGTCTGATGCTGCTCACCAGAGGGATGTTTGGGAGGAAGATCCAGCCCCCACAGCCTGTGTTATCCCAGTGGGTTGTATTCTGCTGGTTTGTGGGATTTTGAGATGCCTGCTAGGAAGCTGAGGAGCTGGGAAGGGATGAATCCTGGGTCCTGGGTGTCCCTGAGGCTCAGCAGCCTCTGCAGAGTGGCAGGATGGTGCTGGGAGTGGCAGCAGGGCAGGGACCTCCCTGTGGGCTCAGCTCCCTGGACAGTCTATTACACCCTTGTTTTTAATGGGTAATTATCTTGACAAGATCGAGTGGCTGGTCTGTGCCTGTGAGATGAATGCAGGGAAAGGCCCAAAGTTGAGGGAGAAGATTAATAGTCCTTGTCAATGATGTGGAAGAAAGGAAAACTTGACGGGTTTCGCCTGAGTAATCTCCGTGTAGCCCAAAAGCATTTTTATAACTTTGAAGGATGGGCTATAAATTCACCTCCTTGATATCATCTTTTCTTGCTGGTCAGTCTGCTATCAATTTGCTTTGGTGTCTTGTCAGGGGCACATTTGTCTCTCCATCCTGCAGCAGGAACCTCCAGGTGTGCAGCTCTCGGGGCCGTTCCCACTCTTTGGAGTTCTGCTCTGTATCCAGGGCTGGCTCTATCCCACCTTGCTACAGCAGGGAGGGAGGGAATCAGCAAGCACAGCTTGTCTGTGCTCTTCTCTCCCTCTCTGCACAGGCTGTGTGTCCTGGTCCCCTGCAGTCACCATAAATCCCCACCAGCCATCAGGGAGCATCCATGCACGGTGGAGCCAGAATTAAATTTGGACACCCTTGGGTGGCTTTCTAGGATGTCTCTGCCTCTCTGGAGGATGCAGCCTGTGCCTTTGGCTCCTGGAGAAACCCTCCTGCCCTTGGCTGCTGCCAAGGAGCTGTGGCCTGGCAGGGAGCCTGGCTGTGATGGAGGGGCAGAGGCTGTGGTTCCATCGTGGCATCTCCCTATGGGAGACACTTTCGTAGCTGTAATTAACAGCATGCTGCATTAATTGGTGTCTTTTGCTAAATGATTAATGTGTTTCTAGTCCCGTTATGGGTGGTTATGACAGGAGAGGCTGGCAGCTGTCTCTGGGAATTACTGGATCCTTGTGGGATCCTACAAGCTGGGATGGAAGAGGAGGCTGCAAAGGGCTGTGGGATCAGCAGCACGGGAGGGTGGCAGGGGGTGAGCAGGTGAGCAGGGTGACAGGAGGATTTGGGGATGTGATGGAGGATACACAGCTGGTGAGGGACACAGCCTGAGTGGTGCCTTGGGAGAGAGTGGGAGATCCTGATCAGCCCATGAGGGTGGGGATGGGACATGGATCACAGCCCAACCCGTGTCCTGCTGGGGGACCTGGCAATAGGGGGATGTCCCACGGCTCTGGGATGTGACACCCTGAGGGCTCTTGGAAGTGCAGCCTAGTGCCAGCTCCCATGTTCTCAGAAAGGCATTACAGGGAGGTTGGGTGGTTATTTCCCCAATTTAAATGTGGGGTTTTTTTGGCTGCACTTCACCCTCCTCCTGCCCTCAGACACCTCACCTACCCAGCCCTTACCAATGTGCTGCTCAGAGGATCTGGGGTGAGAGCCACAGTGTCCCCTGGCTGTCCCTCAGGATGGGGGGGACACAAGTGAGGAGAAGACTTTCAGCTGCTGGAGAGGCTCACGCCCTGAGCCCTGGCACTGCCAAGTACATCTACAATGTGAGGTGTGTTTTGGGAGGAGTTTGGAGTAGTTTGAGATGCATTTCTGTCCTGCTGCTCCTCCTCCTTGGGCTGTGCCTGAGCTTCCTGCTGGGAAAGAGACATCCTGGCTGGCTGAGGAGTTTGTAGTTTTGGAAACGGGGTTGGAGTTTCTGGCTGCTTCAGTCTTGAGATGGAATGGGTTTGTTGGCAAGGGTTTGGCTGCAGGAGAAGTGTCCCTTTGGGGCAGGCTGGGCTGGCAGGGAGTTGGCAGCCCCTGCCTGTGTGTGTCCACAGACCGGGAGCGGATCGGGCAGGACTCCTCCTACGAGCAGGAGGGCAAGGTGCAGTTTGTCATCGACGCCGTCTACGCCATGGGCCACGCTCTGCACAACATGCACAAGACCCTCTGCCCTGGCAAGGTGGGTTTGTGCCCCAGGATGGACCCGGTGGATGGTGTGGAGCTGCTCAAGTACATCCGCAGTGTCAACTTCTCAGGTCTGTCCACCCCTGGGGTGGTGGGGAGGGACATCCCTGGGGGGCTCAGGTTGTCTCCCCGTGATGGGTCACACTGCAACACCCACAATTTGTTCCTGTTACTGTTTGGCACTGCCAGTGCTGGGTGCAGACTGGGTGCTTCTGTAGCAGATCAGCAGATGAGGAGGTCTGAGCTTCCAGATCTCCTGGGAGCCTTTGGAGAGTAACCCAGGAGTGATCCTGCCCATTCCCTGCCATCCTGCCTCCCCCTGGCACCTCCTTGTATCCTGGCTGGCAGAGCTCCCACTGAATCATGCTGCTGTGTCCTTGTCTGTCTGCAGATCTCTGGAAATGCATCTTTTCCTCTGCTCTATCTCCTTAATAAACATTTTCTGTCTTGTCCTCCTTATTGCTTCTATTTATCTCCACTCTGTGATCTCCTTTGCAATGTCTCTTTTATTTATTTTTCTCTCTTGCTTGATTTTTCTTTTCGTTAGTGTTTATCTGCACAGGTCACTTGATTTAATTCTAAAGCTGCTTCCCCTCCTTTCTTAAAAGAAGCAGTAAAATGGGCTGGTTTAACAGCCTGAGAGCTCTGGCTCCTGGGGGTGGTCAGTGGGTGATACCAGAAGTTCTGTGCACCAGCTCGGTTTTGGGGTTGGTTTTCTGCCTGGAAAAATGTTCTGGAGAAGAGAAAGTTCCAGGGAGACCTTAGAGCAGTTTCCAGTGCCTGAAGGGGCTCCAGGAAAGCTGGGGAGGGACTTGGGACAAGGGCAGGGAGGGATGGGATGAGGGGGATGGATGAAAAGTGGAAGAAGGGGATTGAGGTTGGAGATGAGGAGGAAATTCTTTGGTGTGAGGGTGGTGAGAGCCTGGCCCAGGTTGCCCAGGGAAGCTGTGGCTGCCCCATCCCTGGCCGTGTTGAAGGGCAGGTTGGATGGGGCTTGGAGCAGCCTGGGCTGGTGGGAGGGGGCCCTGCCCATACAGGGGGGTCGAACTAGATGATCTTAAAGGTCCCTTCCAACCCAAACTAGTCTGGGATTCTCTGGTTCTTTAACCCAATTGCTTCCTCCACCCTGTGCCTGTGCTGGCATCATCCTGGCAGCTTGTGGCACTCCCAGCAGTGAGAAACCCCACCCCAAGGAAGACCCACCAAACCAGAGTCCCCTTTGGCACTGCCACCCCAAGGGTTCTGTGGGTGCTGAGCCCTCCCTCTCTTGCAGGCATTGCTGGGACTCCCGTGACCTTCAACGAGAACGGGGATGCGCCGGGACGTTACGACATCTACCAGTACCAGATCAGGAACTCCAGTGCTGAGTACAAGGTCATCGGGCAATGGGCTGACCACCTCCACCTCCAAGTAAGGCTGGGGCCCGGCTGGTGCCTGCAGCACGGCCGGGCAGAGCCCGTGCCAAGGGGAAGGTCCTGCAGATTTCTCCTGTGCCCATCGTGGCTAAGCAGGGTGTAGCAAACCCAGCTGGGAGCCTGTGGGTGCAGAGTTAGGCAGCCAAACTTGGGGGAGGTGGTGGTGAGAGGGGAGGGTGCACTCTGAGTACACACTTGGGGTTCAGCCACAGTGACCCACCATCAGCACATGTGGCAGGATCCCATGGGCTCTGGGCATCCAACTTTGCAGCTCTCAGAAGGGGTGGTGAAGCCAGAACAGGGCAGATGAGTTTTTCCCAGGGAAGTAGGGACTTTGTTGTGGGTTTCCAATGTTGAATCTTCCCAAAAGGTGGATGGAGAACTTCACACCTTCCCTGTCCCCATGCTGGGAAGGGCTGGGGTGTTTAATGGGATGTAGTGATGGGTTGAGGGGCTGGATTTGCGAGCAGAGATGGGGCATCTCCTCGTGCACCAGGGATGCTTGGGAGGTGCCCACCTTGAGCACCAGCGGTGCCATCTCACCCTGCAGGTGGAGAACATGCTGTGGCCGGGGGGTGGGAGGCAGCTCCCCATCTCAATCTGCAGCCTGCCCTGCAAGCCAGGCGAGAGGAAGAAGATGGTGAAGGGCATCCCCTGCTGCTGGCACTGCGAGCGCTGCGACGGCTACCAGTACCAGCTGGACGAGTTCCACTGCAAGCGCTGCCACTTCACCGAGCGGCCCAACGAGAACCACACCAGCTGCACCCCCATCCCCATCATCAAGCTGGAGTGGAGCTCTCCCTGGGCTGTGGTGCCCGTCATCATCGCCATCTTGGGCATCATCGCCACCCTCTTCGTGGTCGTCACCTTCGTGCGCTACAACGACACGCCCATCGTCAAGGCGTCGGGGCGGGAGCTGAGCTACGTCCTGCTGACAGGCATCTTCCTCTGCTATGCCACCACCTTCCTCATGATCGCCGAGCCCGACCTGAGCACCTGCTCCTTGCGGCGCATCTTCCTCGGGCTGGGCATGAGCATCAGCTACGCCGCCCTGCTCACCAAGACCAACCGCATCTACCGCATCTTCGAGCAGGGCAAGAAGTCGGTCAGCGCCCCCCGCTTCATCAGCCCGGCCTCCCAGCTGGTCATCACCTTCAGCCTCATCTCCCTGCAGCTGGTGGGCGTCTGCATCTGGTTCATCGTGGACCCGTCTCACTCTGTCATTGACTACGAGGACCAGCGGACTACAAACCCCCACTTTGCCCGGGGCATCCTCAAATGTGACATTTCGGACCTTTCCCTCATCTGCTTGCTTGGGTACAGCATGCTCCTCATGGTCACCTGCACTGTCTATGCTATTAAGACCCGCGGGGTCCCGGAGACCTTTAACGAAGCCAAACCCATCGGGTTCACCATGTACACGACCTGCATCGTGTGGTTGGCCTTCATCCCCATCTTTTTTGGGACGTCGCAGTCGGCGGAAAAGGTAAGGGAGAGAGGGGACCTGGCTGGTGTGAGCCTGGGGGCTGCGTGGAAGGGGCTGGAGGAGGTTGATGTGTCCTAAGGAAGGAAGGAAGGCTGCTCCTCTGCAGTCCTAGGAGGTGTGGTGGGAAGCATTGCCTTGCAAACCTCTTGCTCTGCCAGGGAGCAGAGACCACTGCCCCCCAACCCCACTTCCCTTTTCTTTTTTCTTCACTCTTCCCTTCCTGGTTTTCTTGTTTCATTTCCTCCCTCTCCCTCTGGTTTTCTGGGCCCACTTGGTCCCACTGCCCATCTCTGGGGACAGCCCAGGCTGCTGCCCTGTGGGCAGGGGATGATGAGTCCTCAGGGCAAATCCAGGTCCCTGGTGTTCACAAACACCATTCCTACATGGAAAAGGGACCGAGCGGTGCTTGGCTGGCTCCTTTTCCCACTGCTGAGTCAGTTCTGGAGGCTGGAGAGACAGACCTGCCCTCCAAAATCCCTGAGAGCTGGAAGCAGAGGAGGACAAGGGCAGAGGAGAAGGAGCAGACCAGCCCCCTGGTGCGTCCCCTCCTTCCTGGGGCTTGTGACAGCTTCTGGCTCCTCACTCCATTCCCATTTTGCTGTGATTTTAATTAACACTCATGTGTTTGGCAACACAGATGGCGACAAATTGCTCAGCTGAGCTGTGGTGGGGCAGGGTGGCACAGGCCTGGGGGGGAGCAGAGCTGCTCCCTCTCCCCAAGGGGCTTGGGGAGCCAAACATCCCCTGCAGCCCCCAGCTGGATGTCACACACAGTGTGGACGAGGCCAGCAGGGGCAATCCCAGAGGTGAATTTGTGCTGTGAAACAACCTGCCTGTCTGCCCTCCTCCTCCTCCTCATCGCCCCCCCTGGGCTTGGCATGGAGGGTGGTCCCAGTGCCTGTACCCAGTGGAGCAAGGCCAGCCCGGATGAAGCTCCACGCTCAAGTGAGAGGGAGTGAGAACAAAGGAGGAAAAAAAAATAATTAAATATCTCATGAATGAGCCCAAAATCCCTTTTGCCTGCCAGCCAAAACAAGAATTGCATTTATGTTAAATGCAAACAGCTCATGCCTGCCAGCCCAGAGCTGCCTGTGACAAATAAACCTCAGTGCTGCTATTCCCTGGAAATCCCTGGGGTGACCCAGTGCCTGGTTTCCCTCTCTGGACCCATCACAACTGGGACAATTTCTCCTGAGTGTGTCCCCCCCACGATGCTGAGCTGCTGAAGTGGCTTTTGGCAACACCTCTTGCAAAAGGGCCAGTGGTGTTTTGCTGGGAAAGACCAGGAAGTCTCTTGCTGTGGACACAAGAATTTCACACGTGTCCTGGGGAGCTGTCTCTGCTCAGAGCTTCAAACCCTGGAGCTGGAGGAGAAACCTTCACAGGAACCTTCAACATTGACTCCACCAAAAAAATCTCTCCCAACCCAACCTGCACTGGTGTGAAAGAGAATTAAAGGAAATAAATGGTGCCTTTTGCAGCATTTCCATTTTGATGAGATGGCAGGGGAGATACTAACAAGAAAGCAGGTTTTAAAAGGAATTATTGCAAAACAAAAGCTCCCTTAAAGCCTTCTTAATGTGCCTGGCATAGTGTGGGTAATAAAGATGGAAATGATAATGATTGTAGATTATGCGCAAGGTTGCTCACCTCTTCACTGCAGCTTGTCATGGGATAATTTAGGGCTGCTGAAAACTGGCTGTCAAGCTGCAGCTCCACAATAGGCTCTGCCTCACTTTTGGGGCTTGTAACGTGCCAGGCTGCTCTGTTATTAGGCTGCTAACAAGCTGGTTAGAGGCGGAAAAAGTGATGTTCCCAACTCCCCTCGGACGCGGCTCCGATCGGCGGCGCCTGTGGCTGCACCTGCTGAGTGATCCAGGGAGGGGCTGGTGGGGTCTGGGCTTGGCTGGGGGGTGAGGGTTTGGAGGGGTGTGAGCAAGGGATGAGCTCAAAGGGGCAGCTGGAGGTGCTCAAGGACTGCCTCGAGGCTTTAGCTGCTGGTTTGCAGGCTTGGGGAGAAGAAGGTGAAGAGGGTGTCCTCAGGCAGCCTGCACAGGATCTGAGCTTGTCCTGGGGATGGAAAGTGGGGGGTCTTGGTGCTGCCCAGGGGCACCTGTAGGGAGGGGTTCCCTCACCTTGCCCCCATTAATGCTGGGACTGAGGCCTCTCTGGGCTTCCTGGAGGGTCAGCACACCTGGGAACACAGTGTTGGCCAGAGCCTTGTTCTCCCCATCCCAGGGATCATAGAACTATGGATGGTTTGGGTTGGATGGCACCTCAAGATCATCTAGATCCAACCCCTGCATGGGCAGGGACACCTCCCACCAGCCCAGGTTGCTCCAAGCCCCATCCAACCTGCCCTTCAACACTGCCAGGGATGGGGCAGCCACAGCTTCCCTAATGCCATGGAGCAGACCCACATCTCCAAAGGCTGCCCAGCACCTCTGCCCTGACCCAACCTGAGCCTGTGGCCAAGGCTGCCTCAGTGTCTGCAGGAGCTGGATATCAATCTCCATTTGTATTTTATTTTGCCTGAACTCAGTGCCTACAACTTTGCATGGAGGTGGCATCTTATTAGAACAAGTCCCCCAAAGCCTTTTCTCAAAAGAACCTCTTATCCCTGCCATCCCAGAGGATTACAGAAATAGCAAGAACAGAGGATCTAAAGAAAGAGACAATTTCCTGCACTGATAAGGCAGCAGCTGAACAGAGGTGTCATTGTCTGGTTCTCTGTTTATCACATTTGCTTTCAGCAAGTGCAAAGAGGGAGAGAGGAAGGAATGAGAAGGACTGTCCAGTGTATTGCTTAGCAGTGCTGGATGAGGGTTGAGCAGGTTCTCCTTCCCCTGGCACCTGCAGGGCAGCAAAATCTCTCATAATTGGGTCAGGATTGGATTTGGAGGTGGGGGTTTGCCAGTTAAAGGCTGAGATTTGCTCTGGGACAAATACAAGCTGTGGAGGATAGGCTCATCCAGCCCTGGGGTAAAGGCTGAGCTCAGGGACTCTTGTGGGGTCACTTGGGGTTGCTGTGGTCCCTCAACCCTGAGGCAGAGACTGGCTGTGTTCTCTGATCCTGCCCAGGAAGCAGCAGATACTGCTGAACTTTTTTTTCTGTTATCACTGCAGCCAACACCTTGAAGGGCTCTGGAGGAAGATCAAGTGTCATTTACAGAAGGGGCAAAAATGGGGTCCTGGGCTGGAAACCAATTAAGAAGAGCAGGAACAAAAATGGTGAGAAATGGTCATTTTTTTGCAGTGGCAAAAGGTGAACTGTGCAGTGCTTCATGGTGCTGCTCAGGCTCCAGGCTGAAAATACTTCTCTCTGAGCTGGAAGGGGCTTGGTGTGAGATGAGGTCAGGGCAGGCTGCAGAGAATGAGGCTGTTTCTGGAAAATTAATCATGGAATGGTTTGGGTTGGAAGAGACCTTCAAGATCATCCAGTTCCAACCCCCCTGCATGGGCAGGGACACCTCCCACCAGCCCAGGCTGCTCCAAGCCCCATCCAACCTGCCCTTCAACACTGCCAGGGATGGGGCAGCCACAGCTTCCCTGGGCAACCTGGGCCAGGCTCTCACCCCCCTCACACCAAAGAATTCCCTCCTCATGTCCAACCTCCATCTCTCCTCTTTAAACGTAAAATGATTCCTCCCTCATCCTGTCAGTCCTTATCCCTGTAAAACGTCCCTCTCAAACTTCCCTGTAGCCCCTTCAGGTTCTAGAAGGTGTCCCTGGAGCCTCCTGTTCCACAGGCTGAAATGAGGGTGCAGGTAGGTACAGTGACCCCGTGGGATCCCAAAAGAGGGGTTTGAGGAGCTGGGGGGAGCATGGGGAGCCTGGAGCTGGTGGCTCTTGGGTTCTTGGTGGAGGGGGAGCCCCAAACTCAGGGCATGGATGGAAGTGAGCACAGAGATGTCTTGTCTGAGCTGAGCTCAGCTGCTCTTTCTCTCTTTGCTGCACCCAAACCACGGGTGGGAGTTGCTGCAGAGGCAGGAAATGTGGGGATTGCTGGATTGCCAAGTGAGGATCCTCCAAAGGCTGAGGATGGCAGGCAGGGGAGATGAGGGACCCTCCACCAGGTCCCATGGGGTGTCAGGCTGGTGTTGAGATGAGTTGTGCTGGTCCCTGGGACAGGGCCTGGGGTGCCTGGAGTTGTCCCAGTGCTGCCCTGGTTCCCAGCAAGTCTGATCCTTGCAGCCCAGGATGCCTGTGGCAGTGATGGCTGGAGAGTTTCAGTGGGGAAGAAATATTAAAACCAGAAAGGAAAAAACCCTAAAGGAAGAGATCTCTCTGGCACAGGGAAATGCTGTGACTTTTCTTGATGAAATGACATTTTTATTTCCAAAAACTGCCTAGATTGACTCCTCATGCTTGCAGGGAGAAGGTGGAACAAACCAGGCAGCACATGTGACAGCAATAGGTTTTATTCTGGGGACAAACAAAACCTTTCAGGTGACTCAGAACAAACTTTGTTGCTTTATTTTTTTTCCTTTTGGGTTGAGTTGAAGCACTTTTGGGACCTGTGCATTGGTTTCTGAAGCAGTGGAAGAGAGTGAAATGTGTCTTTGTGTGGGATCTGTAGGTCCTGGGTGAGATGACAGCCCCTGCCAGGAGCTGTTACTCTTGCCTGAGGGTTGGAGCTGCCTCCATGCACCTTGTCCCAAGGGTAGCAGAGCCTTTGTGCTCAGCTTGTGTCCTTGGTCACCTTTTGGTTCTGTTGATTCCAGAAATCAGCCCCTAGGTTAAGCCTGGGGAGGTGAGGACCCCCTGTCTTCTGCTTCCCTTGGCTCCTGCCCCCTTGCAAGGCACTAAATGGGTGCTGAAGAACAACTGCAGAAGGAACCCTGGGCACTGCCATGGGGGAAAGCTGAGAAGCTGCCTCAAGCCTCCTTCCAAAACCTTGTCAGCAACCCCAGGGGGCTGAGCACAGCTGGGGAAGGAGAAAAATGTGCATGCAGAGACAGTTGCAGCCCCAGAGCCTGGAGAGACCCAAGAAGTGAGCTGTGGGGTAGAGGAGAGGATGCTGGAAAGGATGGGGCCCTGTGCTTGGAGCAGGGATGCTGGTGGGGCAGGGATGCTGATGAACAGGGATGCTGGTGGAGCAGGGGTGCTGGTGGGGCAGGGATGCTGGTGGAGCAGGGATGCTGATGAACAGGGATGCTGATGAACAGGGATACTGGTAAAGCAGGGATGCTGATGAACAGGGATACTGGTGAAGCAGGGATGCTGATGAACAGGGATGCTGATGAAGAGGGATACTGGTGGAGCAGGGATGCTGGTGGGGCAGGGATGCTGGTGGAACAGGAATGCTGGTGGGGCAGGGATGCTGGTGGAGCAAGGATGTTGGTGGAGCAGGGATGCTCAAGGAAGGGCTTGCCTGCCTGACCTCTGTGTTTCTGGGGGCAAAAGGTGAGGTTGGGAGGTGGGAGGGGGTCTCTTTGCCTCCCATTGCCGCCTGCCTCGGATGCCCCTGGCTTGTGAGGAGCCTGCCAAGTGCCTTCCATAGAAAAATGGATTATTCTACAGTCAGATTAATGGGCTTTCATTTTGCAAAACATCTGTCACTGTTAGTCCTGGACAGTGAGCGTGAAATTAGTTTTGACTGCAGAAAGGCAACGTCGGTGTGTAATATGTGACTTACATGACAACGGCTCAGGGAGCCAGCTGGGAATGGGAATTACCTGTTGGAAGGAGATGAGGGAGTGGGAAGTGCCCTGGGAGTGGGTGTCCTTGTGGTGCCCATCACTGCAGCATCAGGGCTCCTGTCCCACGGCTGGTGGAGTGTGCTGGGAGTGCTGGGGAGGAGGAAGGGAGGGGAAAAGGGCAGAGGGGCTCTGTTTCTGGGGATGTTTTTGAGTTGGGGTGCAGGCAGGTCTGCCTGAGCATGTGGGAGTGCTGGGAGGGCTGTGCCAGGGCCCCAAACTCCCCATGTTCGTGGGTGGGGAAGCAGCAAAAGTGAGCTGGAGGCCTCTGTGGGTGCTCCTTGGCCCATGCAACAAGGTGAGCCTGATGTTGAAGGAGCAATAGCGCCCGCATTTGCTTCCCCACTCCTTCCCTGAGGTCACCCCAATGTCTCCAGCTGCCCGTTGCCTCTCCTCCCTTCCCGGCCGACCCCTCCTCCTGGATCCTGCAGAGCCCTGGCGGGTGCTCAGCCCCTGCCCTTGTGTC